CTGGCCGGGCCCCGCTGGCCCCGCCCCTGATTGGCAGGAAGCTTGCCCAGTCCCAGGGCAGGGAGAGCGGTCAGCCCGCGCCTGAGTGGCTACTGGGGCCGGCCGGCTTGTCTGTCCTGCTCTGATTGGCCCTCTGACCTGCGGGCACGCCTTCTCCCCATCACTGGTCCCCCAAGCAGCGGGAGGCACCGCCTCTGAGTGAGGGCACCACCTCCGAGTGGGCTTAATGGTTGGCTCAGCGGGTGGCTCCGTGGTCGCCGTGCAGAAACCTTATTTTCTTTCATCTGTCCTTTTATTTTTATGTTTTCCCTTTGACTCACATTGGCCTCACAGCGCCTTGACTCACCTCCCTCTCACTTGCTGGATCATTCAGCGCTCAGGACAAGGAGGTTCTGGGCCACATCAAATAATACGAAGAAGAAGCCTCCGGCCTGTTGACCACAGAGAACGGGTTTTGGTCAAACTAGAGATAACATCTAGGCCTCCGCTGTGTTTGGGCGCCAGAACACCCCACCCAGGGAATCCTTGCAAAACAAGACGAATCAAGGCCATGGCTGACATCAAGACCAGATGCAATGATCAATTACCCGCTGCCCTAGCCTGACCCATCAGTAGAGACCACGACCCTGACCCTGACCGTGACCCTAACTTAACTCCCTTCATCATGGATTAATGACTTTTCCCCTATGTAACCGTCCACTAAAAGCCACAGGGGAGCCAGTGTTTTAAGCGTTAGCTATCTGTGACTCCGGGCATGGTGCCATCTCCTTCATAAATCTTCACTTTTGTGGCTGAAAACTCCTGTTTGTGTCTTACTGGGCTTTGATGCGCACAGGCAAATGGACCCCTTCAGTCTGGTAACACCATAATGGGGGCAGCGCCTAGTAACTTGAGAGGCAGAAGGGCTCAAGTCTTAGTCTTTAGTCTGCCTCCAGGGTACTGGGTCCTGTGTCCCCTCAGGTGTGGAAGCCAGGGGAATCCGGGGTAGGAGGGGGTGGCTCACTTCAATAGAGGTGGGGTGGGGGGATACAGCTGAGGTTACTGAGGTTGTAAGACACAGAGGGTTCCTGTTCTTCCCGATTGCAGGAATCCAAAAAAGAAAACTCAAAATAGGGGCAACTGGGTTCAATTAAAAATGACAAGTGAGTATCCACCTTCTCCCTGCCAGTTCCATCTGGACACACAGATGGAGACAGGTCCTACACAAAGAAGCTCAGGCTGGTGGGGTGGGGTCCAGCCTTTTCCACATCTGTTTGCAGCCTTGGATGCTGTGTTCGCTGGTACAGCTGGGTCAGCTCAGGGACGCTCCTAGGGACCAAGGTTATAGCTCTCTCAAACCATCTTTACACCCAGTTCCTCATCTGATTCTCACATTACTGTGACAGAAAAGGAAGATGAGGCCCAGAGGATTAGATCAGCATCTGGGAGGTTAGTAATGAGCTAGAGGGACAGCACTTCCTCTGTTGGACCAATCACACTCCCAGCTGTAGGTGTCTCTTAGGCTAGTGTTTTCTCCAACTTCAGTTGCATCAAAATCGCTGAAGGGGACCTTGTTAAAATATAGATTCCCAGCCCCACTTCCAGTGAATCTGATTTGGTAGGTCTGGGAGGTAGCCCTTGAATTTGCAGTCCTAACAAACTGCTAGGTAACTGACGCTGCAGGCCCTTGAATCACACTTTGAGCAGCACCACTCTGGCCCCCAGAGGCCTTCTATCTATCACTACCGTTCCAGCCTTTCTCAGAAATATCTATAACAACAACAAAAATCTATGACAAAAATTCCTTTTCATCCTACGACAATTAGGATGTCTCCGCTGTAACAGAAAGCTCAACCAACAGTGACTTAAATAATAAAAGAATTATTTTATCTTGCATAACAAAAAGTCTGAGTAGATATTGGGTTGGTTCATTAAGTAACTTAACAAGGCATTACCTGGACCAGCTTCCTTCCATTTACCCACCCTGCCAGATGGCCTCTCCTCCCCTAGGAATCCATATGGGAAAACCATAAGACTAAGGGCTGGCAAGGAGACATTTATTCCAACACCTTAAATCAGGGTTGTATCCAGAAAATGAGAAGGAAACCCAGAGATTCAGGAGATGGGAAAGTCCATGTGCAATTAGTTGTAGGTTGCTGAATGTGTTGGAGTTTTCACTTCCATTTCTGCCAAGAATTTCCTTCAGGAATGTAGTTCCCCACTTGGTTGTGTTTACACAGTAGGGAGAAACCCAAGGTCGGCAGCCTGGAATGAGGACTTGCTGAGTGAGTAGGAAAGGGCTGGAGCAGGCTTCCTGGGAAAGCAGGGCAGTTTGCTGGCAGCTGCTATCGCCACCTCCCAGTGGAATGACTTCCAGGCCAGTTCACATGAGGCCTGCAGGGAAAGTCAGTGAGCCTTTGAGGGACGGATGCCCACGCAGAGGTAGGGGATGCTCTCTGAATACAGGCAGTTATAACCCTGGGATTACTTTTCCAAGAGTCAACTGAACAAATAGTTCTACAGGCATCAAGCCCTGAGATTCATAAACTGGATTCTATTTCCAATGCCTTCTCAAAGAAAAGAACTTTTGAATGCTGACAAATCTCCAAAGTACCGATTCAGCTACTGAATTTTCTCTCTTGATTTTAATTTATTGAATAAATAATTTAACAACAATAAAGGAAATGAAAGTAGGAACAAAAGAATGTATTTTCTTTTCCACATTATCTTCTTTTAGTTTTAATTTTTATTTAAGTATTTTAGACATATAAACAATTATGGATATGATACATGAAAACCCATGTACTCAGAAACTGGGGAGACTTCCAGTCAAGATAGCTGAGTGGATAAATGTTGCGCCTACCTTCTCCACAACCACATCAAATTACAACTAAACTACAGAACAACCATCATTAACAACCACCTGAAGACTAGTTGGACAGAAATCCTATAACTAAGGATATTCAGAAGAAGCCACGTGGAAATTGGTAGGTGGGGCGGAGATGGTGAGGGAGCTGATCCTACACCCAGGTGTGGTGGTTAAAATCAAAGGGATATCTCAGGCTCAAAGGCACCCCATGAGGAGAGAGGGTCCTGGCCCCGCACTGGGCTCCCAGTGCTGGGAATAAAAGTCTCCTTAATTTCTAGCTGTGAAAACCAGCAGGGATTATGGCTGAGTGAGACGGAGGTTGCTAGAGTCCCAGACGTTCCTCTTAAAGGGCCCAAGCACAGACTTACTCACTGACAGACTCACTCAATCCATGCTCCAGCACTGGGGCAGCCCCTTGGAAAGCACCAGAGACATACAGAGAGGAACTAAATTGTCTGGCTTTAGGGCAAGGACTGGAGGGCAGCATTCTCCCAAAGAGGAGTGCTGGCAACCATCATTATTCCTTTGTTGAGCCTTCCCCTCACCCAGCCTGCAGGCACAGGCAGGTGCCAAGCCTGAGTCTCCATCAACCTGGCTAACACCATTTGCCCTGCCCTGGTGATTCCCTGAGACCCCACTCCACCCAACTTGCAGGCCCACCCAAGCTGCTTCCAACAGCTATTCCATGCAAATGGCCTGTTTTTGCTCACGCTTTGGACTTTCCTAAAAATCTTTCAAAGGTTCACAAACTGCAAACAAGCAGTCCTGGCCTCAGCATGCCCTATATCTCTTGCTAAGCAGCCCCAAGCCTGGCATAGTTTGCAGCCAGCCTCGGTTTGCATCTTAGTCTCTCTCAGGTGCCTCCAAGCCCAGCACAAATGAAAACCATCTGCAGAGAACTTGGAAACTTATACCAGGTGGTCCCAGACTAGGCACAGGCAGTAGCTCACCTTGGCTTACACCAGAGCCCATTCCAAGAGGCCCCAGTACCAATACACCTGGTGGCCAATTTCACACCCCACCCGAGCAACAGCCAACCACCTCCACAAACAACACAACCAAAGGGTGGACTTGGCAGACACCAGAGCCCTCTAAATGGAATCCTGCTCCATGGGGTCAGCCCCTGCACGACAATCCTCCACTGTAGTCATGGCCAGGCCTCACAACCAGTCAGCCTAAGGGTCAGTGGCTCCCATTGACATTCCAACAGCAATTAAAGCTCAACTACAATAAGGAGGCACACACAAGAGACATGCCTGGAGTAGCTGTGACCAGGGAGATATGCCACTGGGCACCACGGGACACCAACTATATAAGGTCACTCTACCAAGACTGGGAGACATACTAGGTCAGTGGTTCTCAACCTTCTGGCCCTTTAAATACAGTTCCTCATGTTGTGACCCAACCATAAAATTATTTTCGTTGCTACTTCATAACTGTAATGTTGCTACTGTTATGAATCATAATGTAAATATCTGATATGCAGGATGGTCTTAGGCGACCCCTGTGAAAGGTGCACCTAATACATAGAAACCAATGCAGGGAATAAGCCAAAATGAAAAGACAAAGAAACCTTCCCCAAATGAAAGAACAGAACAAAATTCTAGAAAATGAACTAAACAAAATGGAGACAAGCAATCTATCAGGTGCTGAGTTCAAAACACTGGTTATAAGGATCTCAATGAATTTAGGGGAAGAGTAAATGAAGTCAGTGAGAATTTTAAGAAAGAGACAGGAAACATAAAGATGGAGATAGGAAACATAAAAGAGAACCAGTCAGAAATGAAGAATACAATAACTGAAATGAAGAATACATTCAAGGGGCCCTGGCTGGTATGGCTCAGTTGGTGGGGCATTGTCCTGTGCACCGAATGATTGCTGGTTCGATTCCCAGTCAGGGCACATGCCTGGGTTGCAGGCTCGATCCCCAGTGGGTGTGTGCAGGAGGCAGCCAAT